GAACGTACCTGGCCGCAATCGGCGTCTAGATTCGATTCCTTCGCACCCTGAATGGAAATTGGATTTCAGTTTTGCCGAGCTATGCATTATGCCTCTACTTTTCAAATTACCTACTTAGGCTGATCTGAGGACCACTTAAATCATTCCTTTATTTTTAAACTTAGAATTAAAATAAATCTTAATGTATGTACTATGTATTGAACTTTTATGCGAAATTTAATGTTGGATTCGTTAACGACAGGTTACGATAGGCTCTTGGACAATATTTAAAAATAAACAGATTGTACATTAACGCAACATTTAAAAAAACCAAACTAAGTTGTATCACTACTATTTATTTTAATGTACCAAACTTTACTCTGTACTAGTTAGTATATCAATATAAGGAAATTGCATTTATATTGTAATAAATTTTTTGATTTCCCAATATTTGTTTTATTCCCAGAGGATAAATAAAACGGAAAGGCCACCAGGAGCATACGGCCGTACAAAACGTGTATCTCATAGAATTCAGTCTATGAGATACACGTTTACAGTGTGATTTTAATACAAAAGATAAAAAGGATTGGTTTATAGCCTAAGAGCTGCGTGCGATTTTTCGTGAAGTCGTGCGTTGGGCCCTTAGTTTTATGTATTCATTTAACATTTGCTCGTGCGGTGTAACAAATTACCTTTAGGCATCCGGCATGTCTCTAAGAAATCAATTGACAATCAATAAATTGCCAGGACTTATGACACATAGTCAAAAGTGAATATATTAGACAAAACACTAAATCAACCGATGCCCTATCACAAGCTTTGAAACTAAAATGACAATGGGTCATGTAACACGATACCTAGACAACAGAGCACAGATACATGGACATTAAATACAATGCAATGGAAGGCACCACCCGGGAAAAGAAGTGTGGGCAGGCCAAAAAGAAGGTACCCCACCTTCTTCAAAGACTTGATAGAAATAGCAGGCAAAGAATGGCAGACTAGTAGCAAAGATAAAGATATCTGGAAAGGGTAAGAGGCCCAAGGTCCATATCCATAGGTGACATAACATATTACTACTAACATTTAGCTATAAGCAAACACTAACAACATTTGAAATTGAACTTAAGGCTATGGAAATAAAATACCTTATTATTATGTATTATAATTGGCACGGAAGGCTGATCACGAACATTCTAACAGAAAAATGATTAGAGGAGCGGGGGAATTTGGAGGCGACAAGATTATAAAACCACTTAAAAACATAGCTACACAAATGATATTGATTGAATATCTCATAAAACATTTTTCATAAAGTTGATTTAAACGAAAAGGCCTTCAATATTTGTTGCGATAAATTTTACGTCATATTGTATTGTATAGCGTTCAATATGAATTTGTTTATTTCAAGGGATATTGCTGCGTTCATCGCTATGCGTCAATCAAGCGGCATATGCGGGCGACAGAGCCAAAATTACTCAGACATCAAAGAGAAACATTTAATAGCGGTTATTTGGTAGCAAACGGAAAATTATTTTTTCTTTACTTTTTTTTGTGTTTTTTATAAAATCTTTAGTAAAAACATTCATTTAGATGTCTACTAGCGATGGTAAAATTACTGTTTAGAGATGTAACAGGAATTTGAGTTGATCCCGGCAATGTGAATACCGATTTTTGGCAGAAAATCATCTCTGCCGAAAAACCGGAAAGATTCAAGTACTCGTATAGCTATCAAGCTCTATACGAGTACTTTTAAAAATATGATTAATGTACAAACGTGTGTCTGCCACAATAAGGTTTTACGGGAGATCAAAACCATTAAGTAGAATGAAAAACGGCAAAAAAAAACGATTTAATCGTTATGTTTTATACAAAGTATAGTGATGTATATGGAATGTCTAATTAAATTGTGAAAAAGGCTATTTTCAATTTTACGCACTCAAAGTCTTGGCAATATCATGCCCCATTTGTAACGTAGAATAGTTTTTTTTTATATAATAGGGGGGTAAACGAGCCTGCGGGACGCCCAAAAAGGGCAGTCATCGCATCCCATAGACACCCATTTTTAGTGGGTGCGTTGCCGGCCTTTGCCTTCGGCTGTTTTATATCAGTATTACTCGTAGTAGCAATTTATTTACACAGTCTTATTTCCGTTATGAACTAAAACATTTTAATAATCCTTGTCGAAGTTCTATGTTGCAATTTATTATGTATCTTATAATTGTGGGTTATCTACACATTAAATTCTGGCCACCCGTACATGTCTCGATCTGTATTCAATGAGAGCCGTAACAAACTTATTTTTAAATTTTAAATGAATTGGAGAAAGTTTCTGTGTGGGGTAGTACTAACCTTGTTTAACCCTACAAAGACTCAGGTTTGTATGTTTTCGCCAAGAAAGTTCTTTTTGTCCTCAATTTGAAGGCGCTCTCCTTAGTACTTCACACAGTCTCAGTATACTTGGGGTTGGCATGGAATACTGCTCACATGGGCCTATGCTCCCAAATACCACATTTTTTCTTTTGACCAAATTCAGCGAAGGCCTTGTCGAATTGTCCATATCCAATGTATAACTGATCAGCTTGATTATCTCTCTCTACGCATAGACATTGCGTCTCTATGCATATTCTACAAAGTGTACTATGGTGAGTTTTCTGAAGAGTTGTTTGGGTTGATCTTTCCTCACCGTACAAGCCGTATTAACTCAAACTCCCATTCGCATCACCTTGATGGCTGGAAGTCTTCCACGGTTCGCTTCACAAGACATTTCTTTTGCGAACTTAAACTGATGGGGTCTTCCCACCCACTAAATTGGGTGTCCATTGGCTGCGATTACTGCCTTTTATGAGCGTGCCCCGTGCGTATGCTATAAAAAATACAACTTACATAAAGCATTATATGGATTAATAGACATTTATGAATGGACGTAATAATTAAATCTAATACTAACCTTTGAATAAAAATAGGCGAGCGTCAAGGGATTTTAGGATTTTATCCTACCAAGTCAATATCTTCATGAATCATCTGTATGATTACTTGAGGGCGTTTCCAAAATCTGAAACAAATATAGTATAGCGCCTGGGGGTTTTCACCTCGGATTAGAGTTACAGTGAATGAATTAATATGATCGATGTCTCATATTGTTTTTTAAGCTATAAATTGCAATGTTTACCCAAAATTTTTTTGTGCACTCCATTGTTATAATTTAAGAAAAATTGAAATTTCTTAAATATTAATAGTTTATTAAATATGGGCAAAAAACGAAATGCCATTTCTTTTTCATCTTGAATTGTTTATAACTTTTGCAATTTTTTATGTGCTAATACACGCTTTTGGCACATTTTTCTAGACGTCATTACGGATCCAATGAGCTATCGCACATAATTTTATGAGCAGTATCTCTATTTTGTACCATTTTTAACTTGTCGACTAGACTACTACTGCTATTTTTATACACAGGTATCTTTGAAAAATGTTCCTATATGTCTACTCAGGTAAGATTTAAGATATAAATAAAATAAAATACTGTTTAAAGTGAAAATATATGGTCAAACATTAATTTTTCATAATAATTTTAAATTTTTAAATTATAACAATGGAGTGCACAAAAATTTTTGGGTAAACATTGCAATTTATAACTTAAAAAACAATATCCCACATCGATCATATTAATTCATTCACTGTAACTCTAATCCGAGGTTTTACGGTTTTGAATGCTCCGGGCACTCTACTAATAACTCAAATAAGACTTCAGTAATAAACTGGAAATAAAAGGTCACCCTCAAAATATTACTCAAATTCTAAAACCACTATTAAGAAGAAACGTACTTAACACAGCTCCATCACATTTGACCATATTCTTATCAAATACCCTCATATATAATGAAAACATTTATTATTATAAAATCTAGATTATCTAATACGCATTCTGTAATTAGCTTATTAATAGTAATGCTACAATCATTTGGTTTGATGTTTTGAATATGTTTTATGAAAATAAAAGGGAATTCTCCAAAGGATCTGGTCTTTTGAAGTATTTCTATAAAACTTCTTTTACGGATATTACTCTGCTTGCGTAATGAGATGTTTTGTATTTTATAGTACTCAGGCTCAGTCAGAGACTGCCGCATCAAGTTGATATGTAACTTTGTGATATTATGTTTAGAGTAATACAATATATATATACTATGATGTAGGTATTCGCAGTATTCTGGTGATTTTTTACAAAAATGACTTATCATATCAAACTTATAGTGAAGTATTTCAATTTCCATGTGTAGTACTCGTGAAAACCAACAGAAATATTCAGACTTAATTTAATATATTTATAATTATTAATAATTATTATTATTATCAGTATGTTATCTCTATATTTGTGTGTTACGAATTAAATAAATACATTGTGAAATTTTATATATTACCAAGAAATATATAATGTATGTATTTACACAAACGCTCTATAAAATACAAACCACTTTCTCCTAGAGTTGACGCAAATGCATGCATGATAGAACAATTATTTAACTAATACTAGGAATTTCTACTAGCCGTATATTCTTTCTTGCCATCAATTATAAAATGAAAAATATAAACTGTTTGAAAACATAATTCCGTCTGACTAGATATATTTATGTTATAACAAATATAATGAGTTTCTCCGCGGATAAAGCAGAAAATATTACAGCCTTTTTATACGTAAGCACTCTCGGGATTTTAATTTTAATGTTTTTATTTTAATTACTGGTCACTGCATTATATTTAATTACATGTTTTAATGATGGCCAAAATATTGTAAGCTTTTAATTATATCCATAGTACTAGAGCTTTCAATATATAATATAGTGTTTTTTGCATACGCAATCCAGGATAATCTATGACATGACCTCTCCTCTGGGGCCTAGACACAGGTCTCGCTTTATCATGATTTTCAATTTATACCGGGAAAAAACAGCTCATGATGAGACTTAAATACAAAAGATTACCGTGGGAGTGGCATGCTGTTGCCTTCGGGCCTCAGCCAAATGGGGAAGACAAGACCATGGAGATACCGGCAGTTTTTCTCAATACGTTTTCTCAGTTCATCATCTCATCGACATCGGGGCAAACAAAGTAGGCTTCACATTGCAATACCCTCTTCGCCTTCTGTGGACTTTTGCATCATTAGGGAGCTTAACTCTAATCTCAATGCTGTTCATCACCATCTCGGTTCGGTCGGAGGTTCTGACCTACCTCGGGATGGAGTCTGTGTATACGTCCGGGAGAAACATCGCTCTCGTCACCTCGCGATGCTTGAAGACCTACCTACTCTTTAG